CACAGAAGAGACAATATCTACATGACATGCAAGGAAAAGACCTTGCAGAAACAAGCAACACTTGAGAAGCACTAACACTACGAGATGAGCTATTCCAGCTTGTACCCACAGCCTCTCGGCCAAGCCTAAGGGACCTCTTCCTTCTCTCCCCTGCCTTGCTCCACCATCCCCTCCCAACGTTCACTTTCTTCTTTTCCGTCGCCATCATCGGCAAACAAATATGCCATACTCTGTTGCCTAGAAATTAAAACAATTAAAAAAAAATAGGAAAGGAAAGCCACCCTCTCCTGACCTCTTCCCCAATCAAGAACCTTTGTCTTTGTGTCTGGCTCTCTTTCATGCAGACCTGCCTGAAGAAATTGTCTGCATGGGTTGTCTCCAGCGCACCTCCTCCCATTAGCCCTTGGTCATGCTAGGAAAGGACACCACACCTGACCTACACCTCAGCCCCTCAGAATCTCTTAAACCCATCTAACAGACCTCCCCCCAGCCCCAACCATCCAGGGATAACTGCTGTTAACAGCCACATATTTTCCTTCTGCAGATGCACACAAAACAAACGTTGCTTTTTAAACATTATCTAGGTGGTGAGATGGCCGACAGTTTCTCCATAACGTTTTAGCGCTGTCTGAATTATTTTTAATGAGAAACATGTGTTGTTTTCTAATCGTGGTGGGGTGGGATGATTTCATCTCAGATAAAGCGTGTACCTCTGCCTTAATGAAGCCCTCCATCCGTGGCTTGTTTCAAAAGTGAGGAGCTGGGAAGAAAGCTAAGACAAGTAAGTAGGAGAGACACCTACGAAAATATGCAGTAGCCCCTCATTTCTGAGAAACGTTTGGAAGACTTTTTAATAGTGTACATGCTAAGTCAGTATTTCATTTTCCTAGCTAGAGATTATTATCTTGCCTTGGGCAGATGACGGAGAGAAGAATAAATGGTGGGGGGTGTCTCAGAAAGGCTAGGAGTAGCCAGAGCTGAAATACTCCTTGAGTCATAATGTCTCCTTCCCTTGTCTGTTGTGTCCTCTCTTCCTGTAACAGTTCATTCTCTTCGCTCCACCCAGCAGAAGTGTGGAAACCGCCATGATCCTCATTTCCAAGCTGGCCCCTTGGTACTGCTTTCCTCTCCCATCTTCCCTTTCTTATCTTGATCTAAACAAACCTGTCATTTCTCTCTCGTGTTTATGAGAGGAACATAATTCTCACCTTAGCACTCAACAGTTAGAGATGTAGTTTTGAGGCAAGAAGCCCACAATACTCAAAAAAGAAAAATAATAAATAGAAATAATTTTATCATAGTTTTAAGGGAACATTTTCTAATAATCAACACTCTGGTGAAGACTGAGAGTCCAATTTTATGATAGCTTGTCAATACATATTTACTCAACCTGTTGAGTCCATCATTTCTTGAGATGGGAGATGGTCAAGGGTCAATGAAAACATAGGAAGTCTGGAGGAATATAAAGCACAATGTCAATGACACTCCTCTGGGCTACTGGTTTGGGGCGGGTGGTTGTTACCTTCCCCAGATCAACCGCATTTTTTTTTAAATGCTCTGGTTTTCACAAGTACGTAAGAATTTAAAAATTAAATGTGCTCACTGGTAGCTGCTCAAAGAGAAAAAGAGGGGGAGAGTAAGAACAAGAAAGCAGAGTAAGTCCTCCTCCTGTCCTCCTGTAGCCAGAGGGAGGAGGACACTGCCCTGAATCCTGAGGCTCCAGCGAACCCAAAGTCTGCTCTTCAGAGAGTACACCTGTCAGACCTTAGCCAGGTCCAAGGCAGGGCAAAAACAGAAGTGTGGTTTGAGCAGTGTGACTCGGTGGAAGAGAAGTTTAGGTAGCATGCGAGAGATAGTGTTCCATTCCAGAGACCCTGAAGGAAGGGAAATGCTTCGGCAGCATAACGGAGCCTTTTGGAAACGAAAAATGAACAGCATGGGGCAGAGGGTCCAGGAGCAAGCTAAGGAATGTTCTCTTCACCGAGCTGCTCCTGTTCCAGGAATCATGGCTCCCCACCTTTGCTTTGGCACCTGAAGTGCCAGGAGCTACTTAAGAGCAGGGCAGGTTGTCTGTTTTCAAGAAGTAAATCTCTGGGACAGGTACTGTGTGCGCAGGCGCTGAAGGAAGGTGCAGGGCTGTGCCTAAGCTCCCAGCCAGCGCCTCAGCTATCTCTTTTGGCAGAGGTTCTCGGGGATGAGACCATGTCTAGTGGGGATTTTCTCCAGCTTTGACAGCCCTGGCCCCACCAAAACACACAGTCTTGTTTCCCCATACATCACTCCTTGGGAGTCTTCTGGGTTTTTCCTTTCCAGCATCCACAGGTCAAATACTGTGTGTTCCCAACAGTCTGTGAACTTCTTGGAGCAGCAGAGGGACATTGATTTTGCTCAGCCCTCCTTTTGAGATTCTATTGTGTTAGATTTCCCACTCCCCCTACCCAGTCCCCGGAGAGTAACTTCCTCCTTGTTCTAATAACTTGGACCACAGTCAAGGTTGATGTGTTTCTCATTCTGCAGGCTATTTTCTTCAGAAGAGACAAAACAGAGGCCAGCAGGGTAGCAGAGGTTTGTCAGCAGTCTTAGGAAGTCAGCAGCCGTTTAAGAATACACAAAGAAAATGTTTTCAAACAAACACAAAGTAGACAGAGCTGGACGTCAGAAACAGAAGTGTCCAAATGCACAACTTGTGCTCAACGACTCCCCAGAAGTGTTGTGCTAAGAACCCGCTTTAAAAAAAAAAAAATTATTTCCTTGCCTCAGGAAATGACACAGTAGGTAAAAGTACTTGCTCTGCAAGCATGAGGACCCGAGTTCAAATCCTCAGTACTCAACACAAGAACCCACATGTGGCACCCTGTGCCTGTAACCCCAGCATTGGAGGCCAGAGACAGGCAGATGCTCAGAGCTTGCTGCTTGCTGACCATTCAGCCTAATCAAAAGAGCAAGCTTTCCAGGTCAGGGAGAGAACCTTCCTCAAGCCAACAGTGTGGAGAATGTTAGAAGAAGATGCCCAGTGTTTTTTTTTTTTTTTTGCTTCCTCTGCACTCATGTGCATGCAAAACACACAAACACACACACGTTGAATTTCATTTGTCTATGGGAGAAGAAAAAAAAGGGGACTTCACAAAGTGCCTTCTGACTGGAACTAAAATACAGGATTCTCCCATTCAAGGTGATAAAAGCAGCGTGGTCCCAAGGGACATGAGGAAATTCAAAAACAGGCAAAGAGATGCTACAGAGATGACTCAGCAGCTATGAGCAAGGATTTAATTCTCATCACCCTTGTGGTAGCTCACAACCATCTAGAACACAGGTTCCGGGAGATGTTAGGTCCTCTTTTGGCCTATGTGGGCACTGCAGGCATGTAATGCGGACACACATTCAAGCGAAACACCCATACAATAAAATAAAATCTTTGGGGGAGGGGGACGTGAGACAGGGTTCCTCTATATAGCCTTGGCTGTCCTTGAGCTCACTTTGTAGATCAGGCTGGCCTCAAGCTCACAGAGATCCATCTTCCTCTGCCTCCTGAATTCTGGGATTAAATGCTACCATGCCAGGTCAACAAAATAAATCATAGATAGATAGATAGATAGATAGATAGATAGATAGATAGATAGATACAGACAGACAGACAGATAGATAGATAAGACAGACAGTCAGACAGACAGACAAGCAATCTCTTCCAGGGTGGAAAAATGGGTTCAGTCTGAGATACATGGTATTTTAATTTTAAAACTGACATTTTTATACGTGAATACTGACTATTTTCTTGAAATTACGAATCCAGTTGTGTTTCTCATCATTGAGGAAAAATAAATTTCTTTCACCCAGAGCTCCAAATAAAGTCAGAGTATTTAAGAAATCCACTTTTATGTCAGAACTCTTTTTCCAAGACGGAAGTAATGGATAAAAACTCTTCTCATTTTTTTTTTACATAAAAGTAACACGATCACACTTATGATATGATTTGCAAACCCTGCCAAGTGATGCCTTCTACACAGATAAGCCCTGTAAGATATCCAGTCAAGGCCAGGCATGGTGTCATACCTGGGAGCCAAAGCAGGTGAGTAAGTTCCCAGCCAGCTGGTCTACACAGTGAGTTCCAGGCCAGCCAGGGTTACATAGTGAGACCCTTATCCATAATTCTTGGAATCAAACAAACCATGAAACCTATATTCTGGCATGAAGAATATTTTTAAAGTAAAACATACTGCTTACTTGAAAATCATACTCTGGCATTTCATCTGGGGAGAATTAGTAAATTGTGAATGGTGAAGGACGAAACCAAGAAAACTTAATAGAAACGGAGAGAGGAATATTTCAAAACTATGGAAATTTTTGTTTGTGTTGTTTTCAGATGCACAGAGAGTGGGTAGAAACTTGGATGAAAGCAGAAAAACTGAAGGACAGGGAGAGGTCTCAGAAGACAAAAGTATGACTCCTCTGATGGCCGAAGGATATCCAATAAGAAGGACAGATCCAACAAAGGAAGGAAGATGAAAGCCAGTCCTGATGTTTAAGCATAGAAAACAAAATCAAAAGGTACCTCTGGAAATGTCCCAGAGTACAGGCTACAGGGCTGGCGAGGCACAGAAATTCAAGAACAGAGTGAGTGGGGATGAATGTCTTTGCAAAGTTTGCCCACAGAGTCATAGGGAAAAGTCAGCTCTCCCTAGGAAATGTAAATCTATGGAGAAAAGCAAAGTTAGGTAAGCAAGGCTGAAAGACCTGACTAACCTACAAAGAACACATTTGATGCTACAAATAGAATGCTCTGAGAAACAAGGATATGAGCAGGGTTCCTGCTGTATGGGTTTTTTAAAATTGTGCACGGATGTTGGTGAGAAAAATAATCACCAACTCTCTGTGGTCTTCAAAAGACTACAGTAAATAAGGAGAGGGCTGAGACAGGGGTAGAAATGTCTTCCCTGTCCCCATGTCAGGCCTAACTCCTGACATGCCCCAGATGTCAGTCAACAAAGCCATTGTCCACTCACTTGCTCTGCCCTTCTGTCCATTTCACTGAGCTGGAGCTCCCAGCAGCCATTCTAGAAGAGAAGAAAGGTAGGAAATGGGGAATGGAGGATGCATGGTTCCAGCAAGGCCCTGGCTCCCAGAATCCAACCAGAAGTTCTGAAGCTAATGGTCTTGTCAAGAGTGCTGAAATATGTCCCTAGTCCCACTGGTTGGGGTCAAATGCGCCCTCAGAAAGTCTAGACAGAGTCTGAGCACTGGAATCAGATCTGGGCTTGGATTCCAAGCCTCCCTGTCCCCTCCCCACCCCCTAACTGGATGGGAACTTTGGAAGTGATATGAGGTGTTTATTATTCTGTAACAAGGGTGATGATGCTTAGAATCCAGAAGCCGAGGTGTGGTGGCCTAGAAGAGCACCTGACATCAGCTCCTTAGCGCTCTTTGACCGCTGAAAACCAGCCCCATCCGCCTTCCTTTCTTCCAGTTTTTTTAGGCTCACAGAGAAGCTCTCTACATGTCTGGCAGCCGTGTTGTGTTCTCCCTACAGCACTGGTGTATCTTGTGTGAGCAAAGCCTTTCAGGAGTGGACACACCTGACTTCGGGCTGATCAAATCAACACCACACCACTACAGTTCAGACCGTAGACTTTGTACATGCGGAGCATTTCTTGATAAGATAATACAAGGGTTAACATCAGTGATATCGCCAGTGAACTGTAAATATTCAATGAAGTTTCATGGGCACCACATCTTTGAAGAATTCTAAAACATTCAACAAGGAAAGGCCACACGAAGACGTTCCCAATATTCCCTGTTCCCTTGTTCCAGACGAAAACATCCCATTGTACATTTTTTTGGAAATTTTAATGTTAAACATACCTCTCCCACTGAGAGAGGGAGGAAAGTCTCTGAGGGGCACTAGGAGCTATGGCCCCCTTTCTAGGCCTAGGCCTGTTCTCCCTTCTGAAGCTATAAACACCCTGAAAATGAGTTAAACAGATATAAAGTTTCTTACCCCTTTAAGGTGGCTCCTAGGTTCATCTGATTCCAGGTCATGCATTCAAGCTGGGAGGTCATCTGGTATAAATTGTCACTGTGAAAAACACCCATCGTTAGAAACATAGCCACATGCACAAGGACAGACTGTTTCTCTAAATGAAATGGAGTATTTGCTTTACAGCACAAGCTTCCATCTTTTCTACAATGATGAATATATGAATCTGAAATGGTTTTCATTTCATTCTGATTTCTGCATACACACACACACAGAGCAGAAAAGGTGAGAGTGATTTAATTTTATATATATGCCTCAGTATAGTGAACTTTGGAGTTTCTGAAGAGATATAAAACCTTGGAAAGGAACGGGTAGAGGGAGTAGGGCTTTGAAAGGTAACACAGGCTGGACAGCTCAACATTAAAGTTAAAGGCCTGGAGCTAAGAGTAAAATGACAGAGGATTAATTATTCGTGAAAAGGCCGTTACATTTGTTTAATCAAAAGGATAAGTATCACGTGATCATGAGGGTCCAAAAGGTCAGAGTGATGGATGATGAACGGGCTAATACCCAAGGATGTGACGAGCAAAAGAAACAGGGCAAGAATCCCAGCACACAGCCGCGGAATTATTCTGCATTTATTTTATAATCCTAGTGCATGCCAAGTAAAGTTTTAAGAAAAAATATTTGAAAACAGCTCATGGTTTACATTAAGACCCCAAAGGGGAAAATATACCTCCCTGTAAGACAACCAAGAGCTGTTCTCTCTCCACTGCAGATCTCGCTTCTAACACATAAACCAATGATCAGAAATCTGCAACAACCAGGCCCTATTAGGGAGACATTAAGCACCGAACCGAAAGGGTTAATTACGAAAGCGGAGGCCCAAGAGATTAATGGTTTGTCTGGAAACCTTCGGTCTAAGTGTATTACAGGAGAGAGTTTTCACCCTGCCTTCACAGCCCAAGTGAACAAAGATAAGAAGCATTCGATACCTAACGCATGATACCAGATCACAAATCCTGAACAATCTCCTATCTTGTCCCGACATTCTTTTCTGTTGCTTCATCTGGCACAGGCAATAGGAGTTTTTAATTCAGAAAGCAAGCATTTTCTGGGCCAACTGAACTGAGAACTTGCGGAGGGCTTACAGCAGTCACACGGCTCTGAATCACTGAATACTGTGCATGCTCGCCGGCTCTCTGCCCCGCTTGATAAATAACGGCAGAGTCCATCTGACTCTCCTATCTAGCAGCTCTCTGCAAATTATTTAGAACTCCTTAAGGCCAGTACTTGGGCTGAAGAGGAAATCAGCTTCCAGGAGGAGATTTTTTTTTTTTTTTTTTTTTTTGCATATGAAAAGTGACTTCAAACTCCCAAGTATGTGTAGCTTCATTAATCAGTGTGTATCTGGACCCTATCATTCATCCCTGGGTCTGACTAGTTATTACGCTACCACAATATCCTACATATCAATGAAGAAGAAAAAAAAAAAAAAAAAGATTAGTCTCTGCTGGAGCTTCTCCATTCGCAGCGGCAGCCCGTGCTGGTCTGTGCCACTACATTTCGCAATTCCACGAATTCTTTCTGCGAGGCTGATGTAATTAATTCCTGAAAGACCCCCACTTTTATTAGAAGTGCCAGCCTGCCGCATTTACCACAGCCCAGTTTCTTGAACTTTCTTTGGGCTGACAGTTCATTAATAAGCGGCCTCCTCCACAATCTCTCCTCCGGTTTTTGTTCTCCTGTGCCTTTTCATCAAGCAATCCATTTATTAATCTTGCCATTAATCTCAGCCAAACGGGCATTGTTATTCCCCAGGTAGCTCTATATTTTTGTCACTGATTTTTAAAAAATTGTTCACCAACTAAAACCACTCAGCTGCAGCTGACAATTTTTCCCTGGACCCCATTGGGACGTGGGGTCTCTCTGGACTGACTTGATCTTTACATGAGGTCCAGAATATGATAATTTTCAGGAGGGCTGGGAAATAAGGTGAGCAGCAGAAGTTGGCGCATAAGGATGACTAGATCTCAAATATCTAACTTTACACTCAGAGATGTTCTAAGACTCAATGCACAGTCCGGATTCCTAACTGCATCGCTACAGAAAGATCCCAAACACAAATATCTTTAAATGCACTTCCTTGATCCCCAGTAAAAGAAGTTTCTCAAACACCGAACATAATATCTTATGTGTCTTCCTACAAGTTATTTAATAATAATTTTTTCAAAGCTTCTGTATTGCACTGTCTGATCTGAAAACCACTAACTGTGTAGGGCTATTGAACCCTGGAAATAGCCCTGCTGTGATGAAGTTTGGGCTCTTCTGGGTCAAGTACAATGGTCTGTAACACGCTTCTTTTTCTTTTAATGTAGTTACTAGCACATTTCAAATACATGTATGGTCTATTGTATGTTTCTACCGCACAAGGGGTATGACGAGTGGCATTTGGCATGCCCTGCTCCTCTGGAAGCATTTGGAGTCAGTGCCTACTTCTTGCTGTCATTTACCTAATAATCATACTCTCACAGTAATATCATGATTTTTAAAATAATACTACCAATTTTAAAAAGCTATCTTTTCATGGTGATCTTCCTCTATTAGAGACCCTTAGGGATCGATGGGATTATGTTTTGAGTCTACGTGAAAATCTGGGCAAATTACTGTTGAGCTCTCTGTACCTCAGATTTCACGTGGCAAGTGAGGCAACTGATCTTAGTCTCATTTTATAGGGATATTGTAAGGCTCAAAGACACTGATGTTCAGAACGGCTCTCCAGAGATGACTCGGAGGGCGTACGGTGTTCTAACCTATCAAATCTTATCAGGCACATCTGCGCCTTCTGGGTGTCGCTGCTGACAACTTCATGGAGTCATCACCCCATCATACTCCTGGGCATGAATCAACGGCTGCTTCTATGCTACCATTTACACAGTAGCAGTACAGAGAGAATCTGGAGGTGAAAGACACACACCCAAAGGAACATCGGGACCATTGACTCCTGGAAGCTGCAGGGATGCAAGATGGCTGCCCTATTCTTTCCTTCTCACTAGGGACAGTGCATCCTTCCTGCCAGATTGACTGGCCTCCCAACCCTGCAGTGTGTTCTGGTATCTCAGCGGCAGCGCTTCAGAATAAGGAAAGTTGGGAGATGGATTGGGAGAGAAGGGATTGCAGGAAATCTCCAAGCTGCTGGTAGTTTTCCTTAGCCATATCCTTCCTTCTGCCGGAGGGTGGGCTGGCTGCATGGCACAGCTTTCCCTCGAAAGCCAATGGGAAGCAATGGCAACAACTGCCACTGCACAGAGAGCACGGTATGAACGTGAGCAGAAAATACTGGCTCATGCGAGAGTCAGATTCTGATCTCTTTGGGCAATCGGTCAACACCCACCTCTCCTCCTGAAAGCCTGTGGAAAGCGGCAGCATCATTCAGGGAATATTGACCTCTGGCAAACGAAGCATTTACTTATTAAATAGCCATGGTCAGTCTCCACCACTCCTTCCCTAGAGGGGATGAGATTAAGCAGGTGGTTTGGCTCAAGGCAGCCCCTGTGGTCACGTAGACATTTCAGCTCCAACCATTAAGCTCTGCCTGGTCGGAAGTGGACTCTGAGGATACAGGCTGCTAAAATATATCCCCAAAGTCATGATATCCTTTATATTTTAAGGAGATTTTTTTTAAGTCGGTTGTTTCCTATGTAAGAGATGTTTGAAGTCAGAGGCAAGGGAGCAAGGAAAGAAACTTCTCTAGCTGGGATTAATGCGAGTTGGAGTAAAATAAAAGGAAGTCAGTCCTAGCAAAAGGGGGAACTTAAAAGGAAATCAGTAGTAGATCATATAGTTTGTTTTGGCCAGGATTGCAGAATTGCTGTGTTCTTGACCTCTACACAAAAGAAAGGAAGGAAAAAAAAAAAAAAAAACTCCACTATTATCTAGACCAGCACTCCTCCACTCTTGAAGTGCAGTGGGCTCAGGCACGTTTTCATCTTTAACTGTGTTTACTATGTTCTGCTGAACAGGCAGAAAGGCTCCTCTCAGAACCCTCTAACTAACCCATTTGAGATCACAGTTTCTTCTGCCATCGTGGCTGGGGCTGAGCAAAGGGAATTTCAGCAGAGCTTGTAAAGCTTCCCCCATCAGGTTCAAAGACAGTCAAACAGTGTTTTGGTGTTTTAAGTGGAGATGCCCAGCGTTGGTGGTAAGACTTTGGAGATAAGGGCTCCTCCTATGATGGCCTAGCCCTGTACCAAGGGAAAAGTCTCCGTGGCCTCGATTCTACCCTTCAAGCAAGCTGCATGAGGAGAGGTTTCCACACAGCCTTTCCCTGTACTGGTCCTCCCTCCACGGCGCCATGGAAGCTGACTGCCCTGAACTTTCTGCCCAGCAGGCTACGGTGAATAATTATTTCATAGTCGCTCTCTTGGTATTGTATTTGCTCTCAAGCTCACCAGCTAACCAAAGGAAAACCCACTAGGGATTCAATTTCTAATAATAAACACTTGGTTAGTGCACAAGTTACAGGAATATTTGGAACTAGATTTCTCCCCCTCCCTGGAGACGGAGTCAATTCAAGCCTGTGGCTTTGATAACGCCACCCTGAACAGCCAGCCCTTCTGCTGGCCTCTGTGGGAAACAAACAGCGCTGTTGTGCCGTATAAAAAGATACTGTACGATGCACATGGGTTCACAAGTGAAGACAGGTGAAGCTAATGGGCTTCACGGTCAGGGGCTCCACTGAGCGCACTGTCCTCCATTAAAATAGTTGGAGCGCAAGCTTGTAGAATTGAAGTAGCGCTACCTGATGAAGAGCAAACACGGGGCAAATGGAAATCTTCTCATTTAAGCCCGTAGCACAGCCAAGGAAAGCCATGTAAAGCTACAGGCTAGAAAAATGACTCTCACTGTGTTCCGTGACCCCCACAGGAGTCACATCAAATATCAAATATCCTGCCTATCACACTGCAATTCAAAAATTGTCGCAAAATTACAATTAAGAAACAGCAATTAAATCACTGTATGGTTGGGGGGGGAGGTTACCATAAAATGAGGAACTGTATTAACATGTCAAAGCATTAGGAAGGTTGAGGACCACTGGGCTAGAGAGATGGCTCAGCCCTTAAGAACACTGGTTGCTCTTCCAGGAGAGCAGAGTTCAATTCCCAGAACCCATACAGAGGCTCACAGACACCCATAATTCTAGTCCAGGGGCATGCATCTGACACTCTCTTCTAGTCACCGCATGTACATGGTACAGAGACATACATGCAGACCAAACACCATACACGTGAAACAAATAACTGCAATGTTTCAAAAGAAAGACATGTAAAGCTAATAGGAAAGGCAAAAGGGTGGGTTAAAAACTAGAGTGTGAAAAGATGGGTATCAACGGGAATATGCTTCAAACAGTGTCCAGCCCTTTTCAAAGTAGCCATGAGACCCACCATAGGCCACAGGCCACGGGGAGTGGCAGCTCCTACAGTAGAAGTAGGTTAGTAAGCAGAAGAGGCAAACGGTGGCACCTGCAAACAATGCCCAGCTGGCTGCCTTGTCCGGCAGAAACTGCAATGGGTTCTGGTGTGTGGGGCTGGACTGCATTACAAACCAGGTAAGCCCGGAAGAAGTCCTCCCAGGGCAGCCCAGATGAGAAGAAAGATCTGTGCTCTGGAGTCTTTAGGAGGCGTGTACTGTACTGGGTATCACGCAGTGCTGTATGTCCAATGGGAAAGAGGAAGCTGAACAGATGTGCAGCTTGGTCTTCACGTGGGTCCCCTAACAATGGGAGCAGGGGCTGTCTCTGACTCTGTGGCCTGCCTTCGGATCTCTTTCCTATATCTGGGCTGCCTTGTCTCCCCTTGGAGGAGGAGAGGGGAGAATAGGGGAAGAGTGTGAGGTTGGAACTGGGAGGAGAGGAGGGAGGGGGCCTTGATCAGGCTGTAAAGTGACTAAATAAATTAATTAATGGAGAAAAGGAATAAAAATGCAACTTAAAAAAATAGGAAGCTGAAGGAGTCTGGAGGATACTGCTTTTGACAATACTCACCAGAAAACATACTGCCCATGATTCTCTACAGGAGTAACATGGACATTTTCTCCCACCACTATGGGAGAAAATAAGAATGACACATGCCATCTTCTGAGAGTAGCACTTAGCCATGTGAGAAAAAACAGGGTGCAGAGAGTAGAAGAATGGACTGGATCCTCATTATCTGAATTTGAATCCAAAATTATGGTCCTCACTGTGCCCCACTGGGGGAAGGAGGAATCACCTCTCAGTTTCCTCCTTTGTAAATGGAGGTGAGAACCCACTGCCCACCTCAAAGAACAGTGAGTGATGTGGATGAAGGAAACCAATACCCATAAGGTACTCTACACTGGTACCTCACGAGTTGGTCTGTGCAAGCATTTGTATTTAGTATTTATCAGTAGAAGATCCTGACATAGAAAGGGGCATAATCCAAGCAAGTGGTCCAGATTCTCTCATGTTCAAAGTACAAAGGGGCTTTCTTTGGACTCTCTTCATCAAGTTAGCTTAAGTTTCTAAACTTACCTCCTTCTCAGTAAAATGAAGATTATAGCATCTACTTCAGAGGTAGTAAGAAAGATTAATGGGCTAGCTGAGCACTGGAGAGAGAAAAGAATGATGTAGGGGATAAAGGAGCTGAAATGTTGAGACTTTCTTCAAAGCGGACTCACAGCAGTACTCTGCTTGTTTAATGGCAGAGTTGTGCCCTTTCGTGTATCTCAAACTAGAGATGGAAAATAGATCCCAAGCCTGGGGAGACAGAAGTCTGTATGGGCAGAGAGGGCTGTGGTATGGGGAGCAAAAGAATAGCAGCTAGGCAGACAAAATACGAACAAGCCTTTCTCTCCCAGGTGTTCCCAACTTCAGAAGGAAAAAAGATACTTGAGCTAAGGACACCACCACCACTGAGCATCTAAAGAAGGTGAAGATTTCAGCAGTTAAAGTTTGCTTCCGTTTTCTGGGCTACTTAAACATTATAGTCACGTAAGTGTCTAAAGACCTGTCAAATGTTTTTAGGACAAAAAAAAAAAAAAAAGAAGTATGTAACCTCACATGTAAACTTGCCTACTCATCATTCCTGTGGAAAGTTATCGGGATCTGGAAAAAGGATTACCAATACTGTGAATTTAAGATAAGAGGAGCATCAAAGACTCAAGAGAACGCTTCAAGGGAGTAACCTCTTTTCCTACAAGGGTCACAATTGTTCTCACTATGATTCTACTTAGGAAAATTCTGTACTAGAAGAAAACGGTGTTTTTATGAGATCAGTGTTAAAAGCGAGATCAAAGCAAGTTTTAGAATGTCATTGAAAAAAACAAAAAGATAAGAAAATGTTTATGGAAGGTGAACCTGAGAAAATTATTTCAACAATGGTCAGCCCAAAGCTGGGCTAGAAAATGTGTGTGCTTTGTATATAAAATAAGCTCTTGATGTAGGGTGATATAGTTCAGGGGTAGCGTAGATGTTTGGCCCTGCAAAAGGTCCCAGTGACAAAAACCGTAACCATCAGAACGACTTCTCCCATCTTGATAGTAACCGTAGATTCATCCCCCAGTCAAAACCCCTCACAGTTTTCCCCAAGTCAAAAATCCATTAGTGGCAACTTCGTTGGTAAAAAACGATACTAAACTGTATCTACTGTGATCACTTTATCCAAGATACCTTCTTGTGGCCGCTCAGCCCTTCTGATGGACACTCAGTATGGGCAGAGATTTGGCCAAAGGGGGAATGAGAAATGTGTTTGTGGCAGTGGTTGGGCAACAGGTCTCTCTCTCTCTCTCTCTCTCTCTCTCTCACACACACACACACACACACACACTTCCATCTTGCTCCTCCCCAGTCCCCAAAACGGTACAGGCCCCATCTCCTCAACAATGCCCACTCCCACATCACGCTTTCTTCCTGAGAGGACCAAGGTCCTCACACCGGGAACTGTTCCAGCAGCCTCCTTCAGGGCTACTAGAATAACAGCGGTGACATGCTAGCAATAGACAGGAAGGATGTCTGTGGCCCATTGCCACCACTCCCCAGAAGGGAAGCGGCTTCCAGCGGGGAGTGCGTTCAAATCTTGTACTCGTTCTGGTGATTTGCCCCCCCTCCCCCGCAGTGCCAGCCCGGGACTGCTTTCCCGCTAGGGCGGGAAAAGAGGCTTAGGTCCCTCTCCGCTCCCTGTGCATGCATTTCTCTCCCACATGCCTAAAGAAAAATGATGCTGAACCCAAGTTCCGAATAGATGGGCTGGATTTTTTCACATCAAATGGAAACGTTTTCCAAGTCAGAGAGCAAACCTAGAAGAGAACGGGCTTTGTGCCTCGATACCCGGATTGGAAGGCCGGACCAGCCCCAGAGTCAATTTCGTAAATACACCTGAGAGCCTCAATTTCGCCGCAGCGCTGCAGGCTCCAGAGTCTGGAGCAAAGTCGAGCCGAGCCGAGCCCCTCCTCCACCCGAGGGACTGGAGGTCCCCAGGCGCGGCCAGTCCCCCACCCAATCTCCCACGACAGACGCTTTTCCTTCCTTCATTACCTCACTACCTCCTTCCCTTGACGTCAACCTCCCGGAGCTGAGGGGCGGGAGGATGGGGATGGGGATGGGTTTGGGGCGGTCGGTGTCAGGATCCCCGCAGTACCCGGGGTGGGTGGGGGGAGGGGGCGGTGAGGTAATGCGCACCCAATCCCCTGCAGCCAGGACCAGCGAGCAGCACCTTCCAGCCTGTCGTCGCCGACCGGTGTGTACGCATCACGTTACCAAGCAACGCTATCTGCGGAGCGGGATGCCGGCCAAGTTCACCCAAAGTTGAAGAATAAATTTGGGGGGGGGGTGGAGGTAGAGAGTGGAACTCGAGACCCAGAGAACGGGTAAGGGAACAGACTTTCGATGAGGAAAAAAAAAAAAAAAAAAGGCGATCTTCCTTCTCCCGGGAGCAAGAAGGGCATCCCCTGGGCATCTTCCCGACCAAAGGCTCGGGGTCTAGCCCCAGAACGCACAGGGCAGCCACAGAACACTGCCCCGCGGGCCAAAACTCTGGCCCGGGTGGCCAGTTGGTGCGGAAGGCTTTCACCAGAAGGGTGGCAGGGGGGTGTATGTGGTCCTGAATTTTCGGTCCTGGGGAAGTTCAAGGGTCTCCCAGTGAGGACCGTTAAGAAATAATACAGCCGGGCCTGGTGGCGCAGGCCTTTAATCCCGGCCCTCGGAAGACAGGAGGCGGACAGACGGGCCCCTCCAATTCGAAGGGGGGCAAGTGCCAGGGCGGCCAGCACTGCCCACAAAAGCCCTAGTCCCAAAAAACCAAAGAAAAGAAATAACCCAATTTTTTTGCCTTCGTCTGCATCGGAGCAAGCTGTCCCGGGCGCCTGTCTCGACCTAAGCACTACCTAAAAGGCTTCCAGGCCCGCCTGCTGGCAGGGTCGGGTGCCCCCTGGCTCGCCTGCGCCTCGGGACGGCCGGGGAGCCGGCGGCCGGCCCGCCCCGTCTTACCTGCTGTAGGGCGTCCTCAGCAGCAGGGCCTGGCTGCCGGGGCAGCTCTCGGTGGGGGTGTGGCAGCCGTAGACCGGGGGCGGCACGGAGTACTGCTGCTCGCCTGCCGGGAAGCCGAGGGCAGCGGTGAGCGGGACCCGGGGGTTGCGGGGGAGGGGGAGGGCACGAAGGGGAGGGGTGTGATGCGGCGGGGGGAGGAGGGCGTGCGGACCCCCGGACGGGGGCGCGCGGGGAGGGGGGGTGGATTCGATCCTTCAAACTGGGTGCAAGCAGCTATTCCTTCTAGGGTCCCTTCTGAGGCCTTCCCCTCGCCTCCCCCCTCCCCCGATTTGCTGTGGGGCGGGAAGCGGTCGCCGGGCAAAGACCCCGCACCTCTCCCCGGCCACTTACCCAGCGAGCCCTGCTGACCCATGGGGTCCTCGTGCTTAAAGGAGTGGTTGGGGAACTGCGGCGCGTGGTGCGAGGGCGTGTGGGCGTAGCTGGGCGCCCCGTCGAAAGCGACCGTGCTGTACCCTGAAAGGGGGGGGGGGGGGGGGGCAGGAAAAAAAAAACCACAGGGTCAGTCAGGTAGAAAGAGCAGGGGCGTCGGCGCCCCCAGAACCCGGGTGCCAGCGGGTACCTGACCCCAGCCGGCAGTGGGGGTGCGTCACCCCCAGCAGGACTCCCCCTCCCCCCCTCTCTGCGGTGGGAACTCGGCCCCACTTTTCCCCTAACCGAGGTGCCGACCTCCCCGTTGCCCCCAGGTGGTTGGAGAGAGCGCCCAGCCCCGGGTGGAAAAGCCGCTGCCCGCCCCGGCGGGGCGGCGGGGAAGTTGTCTTCCTTAAAAACAAACAAACAGCGCCGAGGCTGGCTCTCACCTAGGGGCCGCCCGGCCCGGAGCGCTGAGGCTCCTCCGCTGACCCCGCTTTGACTCGGGGCTGTAAATCAGAGGCCCCCGCGCACCAACTTTCATTAATTACTCGGAGCCAGTTCAACGGTCTGGTCTGCGCTTTACGCGGAGAGAAGTAAATTGCCAGGGCGCGTTACCTCTCCGGGGCGCACAGCCTGACACCAAGACGCCCACCGCCTTTGGGAAAGCTTGTAGGGGAAGAAAGAAAGGACCTTTCCGGTTGGGTCGACTCCTTCTCTCCCCCCAACTCCCCAACCTACCGGAGAGCCCCGGAGGGCTCCGTTCTGACCACTGCTGTGCTGACCGACTTTCTTGCCCTAAGGGCCAGACAACTTAAGAAATAAAAATAAAAATAAAAATAAAAAAACTTACTGTTGGGTCTTTGTGAGTTTCACATGAGTCCCATTCACCTCCCTGTCCCCTCCTATCTGCCCTTCGCTCTTGCAACCTCCCCCCTCCAAAAAAGAAGAAAGAAAGAAAAAAAGAAAATTCCTTTTAAAGCGTGCAAGTGACACTGTCCCTGGGCAGTAGAGCCTCAACTCCTTGCCTCAGTTTCCCTGCTGAGAAACAGACGCTAGTGCTCCTTCCCTTCTCCCAAATGGATGGAAGGCAAGACGGAGTCTTGAAAACCTTATTCTTGTGTTATTACTAAATTTCGATAAACACGTGCCCCACCTGTTTTGCCAAAGCTCTGGCCGGTGCGGAAGGGGCACCCCAAGGATCCTCCTAGAGACATGATGGGGGTGAGGCCTCCCCCTCCCCACCCCGTGCTGGAGCTTGGAGGAGGGAGCCTGGACCTGTAGGGTGGAACAGGCCCAGTCTGTCGGAGGATGGCCACCCTCCTTCCCTTCAGGGCCGCCACAGCATCCCCAGTGGCTACCCACTTGGCAGTCCCTAAATCCCAGTAAATTCTACAGGCCGAGGTGGGACTGAGCCCCCTCCCCTGCCCCGGCTGGGCAAGGTTTTTCCACGAGCGGTCTCGGGGAGCATCCATTCATTCAGTACAGAGGAACAGGAGGCCGGCCACCTCCAGCTTCCAAACCCAGCGGGGACACCCAGGACCCAACCAGAACTACCCGAGCTTCTCCGGGGTGGCTCCGGGAGCTGTCAGTGAACGGTCTGGACTGCGGTGAAGCGAGGCAGGGGGCCCCACGCGAAGAGCCAAGCTGTGTCCCGGCCTCAGTTGTCCCCAGGATGCTCTGCCTGGTTAGTGACCGAGGAATCCCGCAGCTTCAACCCGGGCTACCCCAGAGCGCTCGTTTCTCTGATTTGTGAAGTGTGTGTGTGGGGGGGGGGGGGGGGGCTAACATCCAAACCCCAACAGCTCTTGGACTTGGCTTAACAAGCACGCATGGCCTTCCCGAGACTCCCTCCTGTGGGAGATGGCCTGACCCTACCTGAGGCCTACAGCTTCCAAACGAAATACGGGTCCAGACACCCACCCGAGCCTTCCCGGCCGCTGCGCGGAGTTTGTGAAAGAGCACTTAAACAAACAAACAAACAAAAAGAGGATGGGAGGAAGCAGAAGCAATAAATAAATTTTCTCTAAACGAACCCTTCTCCATTCTTGAGCCAGTGACCTCAGGCCACGCAGCATCCGAGAGAGCCGCCGGCAGCGAGGGCCGCGGGTGGGTGCCGGGCTGCTGGCACCCCCGAACTCCGGCCCAGGGCTGCGGGATCTCCCCACTCCGCTGGCTCGCGGCTGAGTCCCTCCCTCGGGGCTCCGGGGAGGGGCGGCAGCGAAGGCCGCGGGGCCGGAGGGAGGGGGAGCTCTCTTTAATTAGGGGCTTATCGGAACCGGGGCTGATTAGGAACCCGCTGTACCCGGGCTGAGCCGAGCCCAGGTCGGAATGAGGGGGGAGCGGGAGTGGTGGCCGGGGATGGGGGGGGGGGGACTGCTGACTCCACCAAGTATCAAAAGCGTTCAAAGGCTTCTTGTTCAGGCCTTGGAGGGAGAGGCCCTCGAGGCCGCGTTCCCACGGTTGGTCCGGGACCAGGGAGGGGGAGAGCAACCTTGACTCTACCGGGGATAAGAGTAACGCTCTGGGCTCTCCTCCCCTGGCCCTGGGGAGCTGGGGGGTGGGAGCGGGGGGGGTATCCCTACAGCGAGCTAAGCCCGGAAGGTGTTCCGGAAAACCCAGCGGCAACACGGGACAGGGCGGGTCCTCACTCCCACCCGGCTACCGTCCTTGATACCACCGGAGGGGGGCGCCTTTGGCCCCACCACGGCTGGTCTCCCCTGGCAGGACCAACCGACGGCCAGTGATCCCCAAACTACAAGGGCTGGTGGGGAGGGGGTGGTCAGAAGCTGACTGGCAAGGCCCGCCCTGGGTTCAGGCTAGGAAAATCCTCACACACACCCAAACCCCCACCCCACCCCCCATCCCTGCTTCTGGGTCCCCACAGATTATCCAACCATCTCACACTCACATGTTGTTCAGGCCCTGTTCAGCTGGGCAGAGAACACCCATTTCAACCACGGAGCCAAATTTTCCGGGAAAAAAAAAAAAAAGAGGGGTTCAAATCCTAGCTCTGCCTCTACCTAAGAGGCCTCTTGAAGTCTTTATCTCCTCGAGCCTGGATTTCAAGCACCCAGCATTAAGAGGCTCTCTCCATCTCTCTCCATCTCTGTGCGTCTTTTGAAGGTCCCCATGGCCACCAGCTGTCTTAATGGCCAGTCCACACACCCCACACAGGAATGTTTTGGTGTTTGCTACATTAAGATTTAGAAAAATAAGAGTGCCGGCTATCTAAGAAATGGGGGGTGCCCTTAAGAACCCCAGGAAGGGATGAGGGAGAGCCTTATGCTCCGAGGCCTGCGTCTGGGTCCGCTCTCCCGTGGCTGTGGCCATCGTCACGTTTTCCAGGGACACCTGACACCTTCTACTGATCGAGAACCCCCAAACCAAGCCCTGCGTCTTTAAAAGGATCCACGGGAACCCCAGAAGTAAAAGGAACGACTATCCCAAGAATCTCGGATCTGGGGGGCCCTGACCTCGTTGCCATGGGGGCTGGGAGGGGGCATGGTACTCCTCACTCCCGACCCCAGCAGCCAAGGAAGCCCTGGGACGGTACCCGTGCAACCCACGTGTTCTAACTAGGAGGGGGGATGTGACCCCGCCCTGGCCTTTTCTTGCGTGATGTGAAAACAGCCGGGTGTGGTGGGGAGCCCTGGGCCGCTGTGTCCTCAGACCCCCGAGCTCGCTCTTGGGCAGCAGCAAACAGCAACCTGTCAACTCCAGAACAACCGAGGCCCCAGCCCCAGAGCAAGGCTTTCCAGTCTCGATCCCACCTACCTGCCGTGGGCCTCTAGCAGAGCTGCGGCGTGGAAAGTAAGAAAGGCCTTCACACCAGCACCAAAGCACCCTCCGCGCCCCGGTGAGCCTAGACAGACCCAGGAAGACGGTGGCCCCTTGGGATCTGAACCAGTGTCTTAGGATCTGAGGGTTATAGGTCAGTCTCCAAGGAAAGGGCGCGCTCCGTTGGGTCAGGCCTGACAGAGGCTGGGCCTCTGCCCCAGAGAGGTGTAGGCGGGCTGCGTGTTCTGTGTTTGGAACCTGGTCGGGCTTCCTCCCTCTGGCCTAGAACGTCTGTTCTAAACCCAAACTCCCCATTGCCCATCTCGGCTCCCCTCACCAACCCGGACCTTTGCCAAAGGAAACGCCTGCCTCCCAGAAATCGACAGCGTGCTCCCAGAGCCTCGGCGGGGGCACCCGATTCGTCCCACAGGTCTTGTCCAAAGCGCTAACTTCGTTTATGAAAGACCCGGGACGGGAGGACCCCCCGAGCGTGCTGCAGGTTGCTCCTCGGGCCCGCTGGTTTCGGTTTCGCTAGGGCGCGGGGTGGTCCAGCCTGGGCTCTGCGCCTCCCGCCAACAGGGGCGCCCGCTCTGCCCCCGCCCCCCGCTTCCCACACAGTTCACAAACCCCCAGACCCAGGGCAACAGGATTTCTTGGTCCAAGAAAAGCATCCGCCTCTGTATTGGGAAAGAGTTTTCTAAGACACTGACTCCAACCCAATGAGAGATCCAACGGCCAAGAAATCAAATGTGGACGGCGGCGGCTCAGTGGCCATGGTCCCGCCAGGGCGCTAACCACAGGGAGGTGTGATGTCCCTGGCAAGAGTTAAAGATTATATACTTACTGCATACAAGTACATACAATGCTGTATGCTGCATCCTTGTTCATTGACTGAAGACTGCCAACACTCTTGTTGTTCCAACAGCCCCAAGCCTCGTGAAAACCTTTCCCCCAGCCCAACCTCGGAGTGTACGTGACTAGCAAACACCCAAGGAGGGCCCCAAAGGAAGAAGGCCCCCCTGTCCCGGTCTGCCTCCGCAGACACGGTTTCGTACCGGTCGGAGCAGCCGGGCTGCCTTCCATCCCCGCGGGTCCCGCGCGACCTGGAGAGGTCCCCACAGTGCTCTGCCCCTTCCACTAGCTACTTCCTCGGAGACTCTCGGCCCCCCCCCCCCAAAGGGGTTAGGGCCTCGCTCCAAAGCTCCCCGCTGCTCATGGTGGACTTGAAACGGGCCAGCGCCGGGGGGGGGGGGGAACTAGAGTCCTTCGGGCTGGCCAGAGGCATCCCGAGGGATCCCCAAAAACTGGTCCCACTCGGCGTCCTCTGCCTAGTCCCGTCAACCCTGGGCGGCGGGAAAGGTCAGATGCCTTGGGGCGAGGCCCTGAGCCTCTGCTCTTTCCCCTCCTCCTCCTCCTCCTCCTGCGGTGGGGTCCCGAAATCTCCCGCGCACCCCGGGGGCCCAGACATCCTCCCGCGTCCTGCGAACTGTCGGGCTCCGGAGAGGAGGGGGATCGCCAGTAATTGACAAGAGCCCGGCACCCCGCAACCCTCAAGCCCCCTCGGGAAGGCGGCTGGGTGGAGAGCCGGGAGCAGGAGGGAAGAGGGGCGCGGGAGACGCCGCCGCGCGGGCCAGGGCCGAGCCACCGCCGCCCCGGGCCCCCTCACCTTGGTTGCGGATGGCGGGCTGGCTCTCCAGGCAGCTGGGCAGGTAGGGCGCGTTGGGGAACATCCTGGCCTGGCCGGAGGCCGCCTGGCCGGGCGGGGGGGGCCCGAAGGGGCCGTAGCGGCAGGCGCCGGCCGTCCCGGTGAACTGGCCGGAGAAGTGCAAGGTGAAGGCGCTCAGACACTGCTCCTCGTGCGGCTCGGCGCCGCCCCAGCTGGGCTCCTGCTTGATGAAGGAGTGGGGCGGCGGCGGCGGCGGCGGAGGGGGCGGCGGAGCGGCCGGGGGAGGCGCGGGCCCCCCGAGCGAGCCGTAGGCCGAGGCCCCCGGGGCCGCGAAGTCCAGCACCGGCGCCCACTGGGCCGCCCCGCTCACGGGCAGCCCGCAGCCGCCGCCCCCGGCCAGCGACGGCACGGCGGCGGGCAGCAGGGCGTTCAGGTCCCTCACGTCGGACCCCATGGGCTGAGCTCGGCTCCCGCTCTCGGCGCCGCCGGATCGGGTCCAGGGGCCGCCTCGGGGGGTTCGATCCCCGGGCTGCCGGAGGGGACGCGGGGACCCCGGCTCCGGGGCGCACGTGGAAGCCGGTCCCTGCGGCGGGAGGAGGAAGTCCAGGATCGCGGCCGGGAGGAGGAGGAGGAAGAGGAGGCGGCGGCGGCGGGCGCGGGCTCCTGGGCTGCCGACCTCGCTCCCCGGCGGGTGGGTGGGTGGATGGGTGAATGAGTGGGTGGGAGGGAGGGCGGGAGAGGAAAAGGGGGAGCGGGAGGGCGGGTCCGGCGGCGGCGGCGAGCCCCCCGGGGGTGGGCGCTGCCTTGAACTCCTTACCCCAGCTGCCTGACTGGCCCCCCGGGCTTCCCAAAGCTCAAATAAGTGGGGACCGCGGCGGGGCGGGAGGGAGGAGGAGGAGGAGCCAGGATGCTGAGCTGCTCCATTCACGCGGCCTGGCCGGGCGGCGCGCGCCGCTCCCTCGCTCGCGCTCGCGCTCTCTCTCTCTCTCTCTCTCTCTCTCTCTCTCTCTCTCTCTCTCTCGCTCGCCCCCGTCACTCGCGGCGGGGGTGTGGGGCGGACCCGAGGGGGCGGACGACTGTGAGGCGCCCTCCTCCCGGGCCCCGCCACGCGCTCTCAGCCGGCCCGCGTGGAAAGCGTCCCCCCCCCTCCCCCGGCTCCCCCCAGCCGGGCCTTCCCCAGCGTGGGCTCCTCCTCGAGGCCAAGGCCTTGCTAGGTGAGTGGCGTGTCGCCGCCGCGGCGTCGGGCCGGGTGGGTCATCAGAGAGGGGGGGGTGGAGGGAGGGGCGGGTGGGCCCCGAGAGGGCGGGAGCCGGGGTGGGGGGGACAATAGCCCAACTTTGAGTCTCGTCTCCTCCCACGCCCGGGACCCTCGAGCCTAACCGCGGGGTCACTCCGGGCTGTTGGCTCCTCGGGGTTCACGTGTTGGGATTCAAGGTGAAACTGTTGTCCTTCGGGATGGGGAGGCGTGAGGCGTGACGTCACTGGGACCGCCAGGGAGACGTTTTCGGTCACCCGGTAGCTGGCCCTTCGGTGGGGTTGGAACCCCTAGGGCGGTCGCCGGCCGCCTAAAAACCGCTCTAGGTGACGCTTACTGGCGCTT